AGCATACCAAGCCCAGCTTCTCTCTGTACAGAGCTCCCAGACTCACCTCAAAATACCTATCCAGTGATGCTTCTCCCCAAATCTTCATCCCAGCTCCCCTGACTAGATTGAGGAGAACACCACCAGAGACAGGTTGAGGCATGGCAAACAGGAAGACAGATGAACATGCTCAAGGGGCTTAATATGACAGGAAGAAAATGTCCAGGGAGGATGAGGAATAGAGTTAGAAGATGATGCCAGCATGAGCACTCCAAATTACAGAGGGTCTTGGAGGTGGGAGCAAGGGGCTTGATTTTGATTTAGTACCTGATAAAAGGATGAAGAAATAGTAGAGGTGATTCCTGTGGCTATCTGGATGGGTTTGAGAGGGCAGAAATGGGCATCACAAAGGCCAACAACAGATTGTAGCAGTGATGGTGTGAACTGTGTAGCACATGAAGATTTTAGTATGGGGAATGGAGAAAAGTGTTTGGGATTGTATTATTTTAACTGGCATCTGGGATGCTTATGTTTATTTTTATTTGCTCAGGCTGGGTTGATTTGGAAAACCAAAAATCAAGAGAAGACCGAGATTATATGCCACATACATAGGAAAAGATAATCTTTTATACTCAGAGATTGCAGATTTATCTAATGAGGATCACAACACCTGTTCTAAGAATATGTTCAGCCAGCCCCACAAGTCCCAAGAGAGGATCTGGCTTAAGAGGCCTTGGACAGACAGTGGGATAGGTATGCCAACTCTCTGCCTCACAAAGCTCAGGGTAATAGTTGGAGGTAAAATTGATTTATCCTGGGACAAAACATTTTCTAAAAGAACTGCTGGTAAACTGGCACCAGAACATCGCTAGTACGAAGCCCTTTATTCTAGGTTATATTTTTGCTGAGCAAGTATTTCCATTGTGAGATTTCCCAGTCCTAATCTAGCAAAACACTTCTGTAGTGTTTAGCTCTCTCCTTCTGGGAGTTACTAAAATAAAGTGCATTGTTAACACTGTGTATTATTTGCTTACAAGTAGAGAGCAACACCAATTAAGAACCTCTCCTATAATAAGAAATTAGTAACTACACTGGACCGTACCAGTGCTGCTCAGCTTATCTGAGAATACATCAGCTTCTGATTTAAAGACTTCTGTCTGGGCCTGATAAATCTTACGCCTGGTACCAAAGTAGACACCAATTTTGTCACTTACTGTCCACTGGTATTTATGGCCTTTCACAGTCATTCTCTATATATCTTGCTACAAACTTCTATACACCTGCTAATTTATTACATGGGCTCTCTGATTTCCTTCCTGAGGATGAATACATAAACAAAACAAATAATAAAAAGGAAATAACATGCTTAATTGTATTAGGTTTTTTAAAGTAAATATATATTATATTCTGAATGTGCCAAAGAAAACCCAAGCATCATTAAAATATGGCTGCCAGGGTGATTAGCAAGGGTGCAAAAGGAAAAAAAAAAAAGCCTCTTAAAGAGAAGAGTGTGCCTTATCAATGCCATGCAAATTACCTTCACCACTGCAAACCAAGAAGAGTGTTCCCTTTACAGAAAAAAATCAATGGATTTTTAAAGGCTAAAAAAGTACCTTCCTTTACCCTTTGTAGAAAGCCAGAACGCAGCAGATTGTAGCAAAACCAATCAGAAGTTGAGAGTTAGGCAAGCTGAGTGAAACTCTGGAAGATGAATAACTGAGAGGAAGCTGTCTCCCAGCTGCTGACAAGGGAGCTGAAGTACAGGCGTGATATTAAATGCCTGGCTGGTTTTGGACGGGGATGTTGAAGCTCTTGCTGCAGAGTCAAACGTGACCCGTGCCAGTGGTACCTCTGCAGAGTCCTTTGCGCTCTTAATGCATGTCGCTAGGTTGGGGTATCCTTACTGATAGCCGTGTTACAGCAAATACAAGTTAATATGTAATTTAGATATGCAGCTTAGTGCTGTGAGCCTATCCATTTGGTAGGATGATTTGACAATGGCTCTAGCTGCTACAATATATACTCACAAATACTCCAGCACGCACAGGGTCTCGTTATCAGGAAGAAATCAGCAGGACAGCCATAAAACAAATACAACTCACATAAGCACACTGCTGAGGAGACTGTCTGCAATATATGTTCTGATTAATGTCTGGAATGGCAATAGTGCAAGTTAATGCTTCCTTGAGTCTTAGATGACGTGCTTGAAAAGATCTTTGGGAAGGTCATGCCCATTTTTATGACTTGACTGCAGAATGAGCAACCCCCTGAATGCTGACCTTGGATTTGACTGCAGGGTAAATGCTGGAGTAGATTGCTAATTGAGGAAGATCCATGGATGCCAAGGGCAGCTCCTTCTCTTACTACCACAGGGCTCAGCAACCTTTGGGGTTAAATTCCTCCCTGTTTCAGAGAAGAAAATGAAGCATTCAGTCCTTCTAATGTCCACTGCTGTCTGCAAGGGATAAATCAACCTTTGGAAAAGTTTGGAAGAACTTCCGCAAATAAACCTTGCTATGACCGATGCACTTAAAGTATCTTCAATCCTGCAAGTATTAAACAATCTCAGGCCCTGACTCTCCCTCAGAAATGTGACTGGACTACCACAAAGAAGATGCCCTACAAAAAAAAACAAAAACAACAAAAAAAAACCCAACCCCATACATAAAAGCACTGAAATCATGTAGAAACAAACACAAAGAGGCTTCTGCCCAATGTGGTGAGAGAGAAAATGATTAAATTGCATGAAAAACCTGTTGCTACCACTTCTGCATTTGGCCAACAAAGAGGGCTAGAAAGGCCCCACTCAGTAAATATATACTCTTGTTGGATCAAAGGGGTAAGAATGGAAGAGAGTCCTCAGGCTTTATGGACCTGATCCAGTTGGTTTTTCTACTAATTTCTGTGGGCTTTGGCTGGTGTCCAGACAGCATAAACAACCAGGAGCGGGGCTAGCCTTGCTTGGCAAGTAAAAGCCTTGCCAGCACCACTGTTTTTTAGCCTCTCTGCCCTAAACCTGTGCTTTCTGCTCAACTCTAGAAGGCTCCATAAGCAGCAAAAGGCTTGCTGGTGCCCAGGAGGGTTTTAGCCAGACCCAGGAACACACACAGCTGCACAAGGATGCCTACGGTAGCTCCCAACATCTTCCATGAGTCCCAGTTCACATTCAGCCATCCTCATGCCGAGTGGCGTGATGGTTGTGATTTCCCCCGAGCACGGACGCTGGACGGAGACTCCAGTATCGGCCGAGCAGCTGCTGCCTGGCTCTGTTCCCTCGAGGAAGGACTGAAAACGGAGCCTCTTCTGGACTTCGTGGTGAAGGAGCCTTCAGCCTGCAAAGGGCTCAGGGGCCAGGGAGATGAAAGCAGATGGTTTGCTTACCATGCCATGCTTTCACAAGAGCCTTCAAAAACACAGGAATAAAGTTTCTGGGGCAGTTCTTCCTGTTGCATGCCTCTAGTAATGACTTCGGGCTTGTTTACATTAGAGAGTTGTACTACCAGTATTTTATACAACTGTAGTTAAATCAGCACAACACCCGTATTGTATCTATCATTGCCTTGGTGTGAAGGTGAGTATAGTATTCCTGAGTCCTGAAAAAGCAAGCCAACACCACACAAAATGGATACCTGCTGTTGTGTTTTCTGACGTTTCAAACCCGGCAATGACCACAAATTTACTGTGAAACTGTAACTGGTTTACTAAAAATAAGATACTGTTAGATTTCAGACAATTATTCCTAGCTTACAGCACCCAAACAGGAATTAAAACCTTGGTTCTTTTTTTATCTTTTTTCCCCTTATTATTAAAGGGGAGCGGGAGAAATGAACAATGAAGTACACAAAATAAGGGATTTCTGCCAAGCAGCACAATTCATATGAATACGAGAGACTGCCTAATAATTCCAATGTACAAAGACAGAAACTCTACAAGTCGACAAACCTACAGAGTAACTTAATGGGAACTGCACTTGCACTTCGGGGAAGAAATTGCTCCACTTCTGGTAAAGTGTGTATTATCAGGCTGTGACTGCGGGATAATACCGTCTTTAAAAGGACAGAGAGCTCCCGGTCCCTGATGGTGTCTGCCATCATGGGCAGATAAAGCTCTGGGCTTTACTGAACGGTGACAGATTCAACCCCAGGACCTTTAACTCTTTCCCTGGAGCTGGGCACCTCCACATTCTGGGCTGGAGTTTCCCAGTTTGAACGGTATGGATGATAGCATTGCCAAATATCTGAGAAGAGCTTTGTGACGATGCAGTCCTTAATGCTCGAAAACCACCCAAATATCCTGGCATCCGCTACCCATGGAGCGAAATAGTTGAAGTCTGTGAGAGAAAAGTGGTGTCGGCAATGCAGACCCTGACTTCTGTAACAAAGAGCCTAAAAATAAAATATCAAAGAACGGAATTCAAGTAGTAACAAATAGACCAATGAATAAACCTGGTGGTTTAAGGTGCTAATGCTACCATTGTGCATCCAAAAAGCCACGAATTAAGAAAAAAAAAAAAAAAGTTGCTATCCTGCGGATATTCTGATCTAGCCAAGGCAAGCGAGAGGAAGGAAAAGAAAGGAGTTTCTCTGCTTTATTTGTTGGAGGCTAAAGCTCAGGCTGGAGACTCCGACTGGCACTACGCGGGGTGTTCGCAGGGGAGCTCCGAAGGGACCCCGGGGCCGCGCTCCCCCAGACCTCCCAGCACTCTCAGACTCGGCCCTTCTTCTTTCGAAGGGCAGCAAAACCCTCAACACCCACCTCGACCCGGAGCCTCAACCCATCTCTTCGCGTCCGCGGC